GTGTGGGACGTGTTGTTTTCAGCCCGGAAGGATCAAATCCAACCAGGACTGCTGTTTCGTTAAATTTCTGGAGGATATGTTCATGGATAGGCAATTGGGAAGCGGTAGGACCTGTGGGCGGGGTGAGGGTGAACCATCCAACAAGGTCTAACGGAGGATCTTTATGGACATCCCTAACTATACCGAAAATGATATACCAGTTAGTAACACTTATTGAACAACGACTAGGTACAGAGTGGACCGAACATTGTTGTAGTCTTTCTTCAAACCAGGGCTCAGAAAGTACACTGTCTCCATTCGAGGCGGTTACAACATTGCATTCAAATACATGCTCAAGGCTAATGGTCCGGCCCTTCTGCTGTCCTATTAGCGCCCCGACAATTGGTCCCTTTTCCTGTCTTACAAAATGTCGGGTGACGTGATCTGAGATATTGAGGAGGACGAGAGGATGAAGTAGGATTTGGAGGCCCGAGTCGGACGATTTCAGGGAAATTAGAGGATTTAACTCCGCCATCATTCGGGAGCTCTGATTTGGCCGCTCCCCAGTGACAGAGAATAATATATTTATGGAGTAGTTGTGGGTATATCCTCAGTTTCTAGGAGAGCTTGTTTGGTGCTTGCGCCTTTGGAGTTGAACCAGTGCTGTTTGCTTTGTTTGCTTTGTTTGGTCTATTTGCATGTGGGGCAATCATTCTCAGATCGTCAACTCCGGGCGGAAAACGTCTGTCGCAATGATCTCGTTAGGTTGCTCCCTGGATGTCTTTGTATCGCGTCGATGAGGGCGAGAGGAAGCCATGGAGGTTCCTTCTTCTTTTAATGTTGTGAAAAATCATCTTGATCAGGTCATCCAGGATCCGTCCACCCCGCTTGATGTCACCACCCTGGACAAGCTCAAGATCGAACTCATTGCCAATACCAGCCAGAACGTTCTCTCTACTATTCTCACTCAAGTTTCGCAGGTTCTCCCTATATTGCATGAAGATCCGTCTCCTTTAGTGGAATTAGCTACCACAGCCGTTTCATATCTTTCTTTCACCCAACTCCAGTCAATCCGCCCCCCTTTAAATTTGCTCGCTGGCATCAAAGCCCCATCTCCGCCCATCAACCTCCTTACTTTATCTCTGCTAAGAAAAGGTAGTAATTCAAGCGGTGATGCAGCGATTATTTCTGGAAACCCAGCTCTTGTGATCGCCCTAGTAGAGCTTTGGCTTACGGTCTCTGAAACCGCGGTCTCGCAATCTGCTTTTGATGTTCTATGGGCTCTCCTAGAAGCCGACTATGTTCACGACTACGAAAGCGATGTCTTCGCAGATAGGGAGAAGAAAAATAAGATAGGAGGCCGGGGGCTAATGTGGAGGAGAATGTTCAATGATAGAGATGTGTACGAACGTTTGTTTTCCATCTGCAGCTTGGACAACTCAGAACCGCCAGGGCATATCAGCAGGCGAGACAAGTCGGTAGCTCAAAGCAGATTAATGGATTTAATTACCAAAGCGGGATCCATGGATTGGCATGCAATAGCGGCGTCACATTTCCCTGACATTGAATCTAAGTTCGGATGCTCCAGTTTGCTGAGTTTTGCGGCCTCTCAAATGGTCGACCCCAACGACGTACTCTTGCACATGACCCATATCCATTTTCTCCGTGAGCTGCTTCGGATTGAAGCTCCCGGACTCCGTCAGCGCTCTAAAGTCCAGAGTCATTCATACCCACCATTTTCTTCCCCTTCCCTCGAATACCTCATTTCAAGCGGCCTCCACGCCAAGATAATGAATTACTATGTCGACCCTTCAATCCTAGATCCTGCATACTCACCGATTCTCTTGGGGCCAGTTATGGGCTATATCTCTCAGTATGCGATACTATATCCAAATCATCTACTTCAGCAACCCCAATCTTTCTTGGATAAGATTCTTTCACGGATATCAGAGGCTTTTGACATCCAGCCTATTAAATGGGCTCACGGCCCAGTTCCGACAGGTGATCTTGACATTCTTGCCTCTCTACCCCGAGTAATGCTCGTAGAGGCAGGAAACAGATGGATAAACCCGGTACAGTCGATACCTTCTAAGCCTATAAATAGTCATGCATTGGACGCTCTGGGCAGAATATTTAAGGGACCACCAGCCATTGAAGACGTTTCCAATGAGCTTTTAGACCCACTTGATCAAAGTTCAACAAGTCCCCGAGCGGAGGCCGCAGCCTCTCGTGTCTTATATTTTCGATATTTGAATGAAAATCCAGGTCTATGGGCCAACGTTGTTGCTGCCGCTGACATAGTTGCCATGCAAGACACAGCCCTTGCAGCCATCGCGTTCATAAAATCTGTCCTGACAGCAAATTGGGTTGTGATTCCTCCAAATAAGAATAGCTCAATAACCCTTCCTAACCAACGATTTGGCATCCCCACCGAGGACCAGATTTCTAAGCTTGGGCCGTCAACACAAGGCAAGCTCCCAGCCTCTGGTTTGTGGGCACTCTTTGTACCTCCAGCCCTAACAGAGGTCCTGCCCTACCTTTTCAAAGCCCCACAGACATACAATAATTTCGTCGCCGGTGGGGCTAGAGACACAGAGAATGCTCTCTGGAGAATTGCAACAGCCAAGTTCGATGCGCTCGTTGCGCTCCAGAACGAAGTGAAGAAGGTTGAAGAAACGTTTGAAGGGTTTGACGATATTATCCGAACACTTAATAAGCGCGTTGCAGAGGGTCCGTGGGGCGCTCCGAATCAAGTTGGCGGTCAGGTAGATGCGCTGGAGCTGTGATGAGT